AAAAAAAAAAAAAACCCCCCCCCCCCCCCCCCCCGAAACATTTTTCTGGCTACACCACTGGCTTTTTTTATTTTCAATGAGAATTTGAGATATTATTTTTGTTACATACTGAGCACGATGGTAATAGTTTTCATCCCTGAATAAGGAATGCTGCATTTTATTTTTGCATGTACTTTTACCATACAAAAGCATTTTTAATTCGGCTAAGTCAATACAAAGTAATATTTGTAGGAAAATGTCCTTGACGTGATACCGACTCCCTTTGCAAAACTTTTGCCGTGCTGATTGTACTAAATTAAAAATCCCTTTGTATGGTAAAAAGTGCGTGCGAAAATGAAACGCAGCATTCCTCAATATGAAATGAAGTAAATCTTTAGAATAACGAACCCAACAGCTATGACCTTGAGTTTCATATATATGATAGAAGTCACCCTCCTGAGTAACCTTCAGAAGGTTTTAGACGTCGCTCTTTGTTTATTAAAAAGTTATTAACAAATAAATTTGTATAAAATGAATGTAATTTTTGGACATCTTATATACAAAAACATCGAATTTCTAAGCTAGATGCTGCTACATACACACACACACACGTGCGCGCACGCACGCGCGCGCGCACACACACACACACACACATCGCTTGGCTGCCCTGCGCTCGCCCGCCCGACAGTGGTGAGTGTGTATGTGCTATTATATATACATATGCACCCACCACGAGCAAAAGCCGCCGCGAAAAAAAGTTAAACACTTTAATAAACAATGACTGACAAGTGACTAGTCGAACGACTAGCGGGGGGGCGCAGCCCCCCGCACCTCCCTTAAAACTAACCTAATCCAACCTATCGTCACATTAACACAAAAGTTGAACACTTTAATAAACAATGACTGACAAGTGACTAGTCGAACGACTAGCGGGGGGGCGCAGCCCCCCGCACCTCCCTTAAAACTAACCTAATCCAACCTATCGTCACATTAACACAAAAGTTGAACACTTTAATAAACAATGACTGGTGGTTAATGTGACGATAGATTGGGTTAGGTTAGTTTTTAGGGGAGCTGCAGGGATGCAGCCTCCCGCTAGTCGTTCGATATTGCAGTACTTACTAAAAAAATATTTAAATTAAGAATATTTTTAACATTTGTAACACGAGAAAAATATCGAACGATAATGGGGAGCTGCGCCCCCCGCACCCTCCTGAAAACTAATCCAACCCAACCTATCGTCACATTAACCGTCAGTCATTGTTTATTAAAGTGTTCAACTTTTGTGTTAATGTGACGATAGGTTGGATTAGGTTAGTTTTGAGGGGGGTGCGGGGGGCGTAGCCCCGCTAGTCGTTCGATATTGCAGTTATTATTCGATATTCTTCGTTAATAATACACAGTATCGAAAAATTGTAATATATTTTTCGAACTTATTTCATCAATAACTTTTTAACAAACAATGGGCGACGGCTAAAATCTTCTGAAGATTACTCAGGAAGATTACCTCTATCATATATATGAAGGTCAAGGTCATAGCTGCTGGGTCCGTTATTCTAAAGATTTACCTAAAATGAAAACAATATGGAACGATATGGATACTGTCATGATACCGAATTCTTTTGCAAAAATTACTTCTTTCCATCTGCGCCGAATTCAAAACCCTTTTGCATGATGAAAGTACGTGTGAAAATAAAGCGCACCATTGCTCAATATGAGACGGAAACGATATGAAATAGCTACTATCATGATACCGAATCCTCTTACAAAGATTACTTTTTTCTATCTGCGCCGAATTAAAACCTTTTGCATGGTAAAAGTACGCGCGAAAATCAAGCGGAACATTGCCCAATATAAGACATAAACGATAAGAAAAAATCTATTTGAAATTTTCAAACATATCTGTAATATATCTATAGGTATCTATATGAAACGAAGACAGTCGTTAAAATGTTACATTTAATAACTACCAACATGTTCGCGCTATCATTGCGCTGCAGTATTTTTTCATATATCGTCCCTTTACAGTTGTTATGCAAATGTGTGTGCTACGTTGTTATTTCAATTTTCTTACACATAGACGTTACGTAAATGTGAATGCCACGTTACCGTATTCGCATTCTCTCCGAAATAGATTTTCGCCCCTTTTCTGATGAATTCTTCAAACCGCTTGTATATTGGGTCAATCAAAGAAAAAGTTTTTTTAGAGAAGTGTATTGTACGCATAAGTATATTTTGCGAATATTGTTTTGAAGAATATGTTATCTAATATGTGAGCTTTCTATATAATTTGCGATAGAAATATAAGATATCATTTTCATTTTCATTTAGATACTGAGCAATGTACCGTATTTTCACTATATTTTCGCACGTAATTTTGTCATATAAATTGAAGCAGTAAGTGTGCTGTAATTTTTGCAAAAGGAAATCAGTGTCACGATGGCAATAGTTCCACATCGTTTTCATTTCTTAGTGAGGAAAGCTGTATTTCATTTTCGCATGTATTTTCACTATACAAAAGCATTTTTAATTCGGTCAAATAGAAAGAAGTAATACTAGATTTGAGGCTTTCACGGCCATTGATACAATGTCTAGATATAGCTCCCGGAATGGAGCCGTGTCTTGAATCAGCGATATGCCGACGTTTCGCAAACGTTGCAGTTTGCATCATCAGGGCTGAGAACTCTGATACTGAGCTCCTTTGGGTAAAGGTAGTCCTTATATGCCCCCCTCCACCCCTTTGTGTAGATGGTGTTTAGGGAGTAGGGGACGAGGCTTGAATCCAGCCAATCAGCGTATTTTAATTGATCAGCTGGTCAATTAAAAACCGGGAGGGCAGTATGCCA